AGTTATTGGATTTTTTTGTTGAGAAGCAGTGTATAAAAATAATTTATTTTAAATAATTTGTCTAAATGATATCTTGGAAAAATGGGGGGCGGGGGCGGTTATTGTGAGCCAGAAGTGAAGAGGGAGTGTATTATAGGCATGGAGGGGAGTGTATTATAGGCAGGGAGGGTATCCAGTAGTCAGGTGTGAGGAAAAAAAGACAACTTTGGCTGGATTTGTAGAGCGTGAGAAAGGGAGTAATATATGATGAAATTACAAATGTAGGTTTGGGCCAGGTTGCAAAGGGATTTAAAAGCTAAACAAAGGAGTTTATCTTTTATTCAAGAGGCAATATGAAGCCACTGGAGTTTATCATATAGAGAGGGACATGATCAGACATGAGGTTTAGGAAAACCACTTTGGTAGCCACGTGGAGGATGGAATGGAGTAGAGGGAGACTTCAGGCAGCGAGACCAATTAGGAGGCAATTGCAATAGTCTAGGTGAGATGTGATGATCTGAACTAAGGGTGGTGGTTGTGTGATGGACAGAAGGTGTCAGATTTGAAAGACATTGAGGTACAGATGGTAAGCTTGGCAACTGATTGGATCTGTGGGGTGAGAGAGAGTGAGAGCTGATGGGAACTTGAGATTGCCGAGACAGGGAGTGTGGAGAGAGAAGATATAGCCCAGGATAGAGCCCTGGGAAACACCCTCCCTTAGGGGTTGGGGTTGGGATATGAATAATAAATCAGCAAAGGAGACTGAGGAGTGATCAGACTGATAAGGGAAGCAGAATAGTGTTGTGAAAACCTAGAGAGGAGAGGATAGTCCGAAGTGGTGAAAGGAGCAGAGACATCAAGAAGGATGAGGATTGAGAAAAGATGATCAGATATACAAAAAGGGCAAGACATAGTAATAGATAATACAATCTTTAGTTAACTCTAAAAGGCTAACACTGGTGGAAGGTGGCTGATCAACACCAGCCGGTTGTAATTAGACAATTAAGCTGCCCATACCCTTGAAACCCTGAATCATTTCCCCTCAGGTATTGGTAGAGCAGTCCAATCAAATACCCTTCCTCTGAGGAGGGGGCAGGGAAGGGCAGATGAGCTGGAGGGCAACCAACTCAAGTCTACTTGTCTGTAGCCAATACCTATAAGCAGGCAGAGTTAGAATCTCTGGGTGAGTTTTGGATATAGGTTGACACATTTTATTGAAGTTGGAAGAATCCATTACCTTTGGTGGTGGTAGTGGGGGGGGGGAAGGAATAGGAAAAGAACCAGGCCCACACCTCTTCATAGCAAAGCACTGCTGTACTTCTATGGCTCTAGGGTTCCTGGATGCCTTTCCCTGTGTGTCTATGTTTTGTTTTCTCCTGTATCATGGTCAAGCTCATTCTTCATCTACTTGTACTCAGTCTTATGTACTGGGCTATGCTGTGAGCTTCCTGAGGTCCAGAGCACTAAGAATACCAAAGGGGCAGTGACAGTTGTGTTTTTGATGATATTGTTTGAATTCTTCACTCATTCACCCCAAACTTCTATTGGCAGTTGTGAGACCCTAAACTGTGCCATATTTAAACACCCAGCTGTTGGTTAAATGTCTCCCTAATTTCCATCATGAAACTACAATGAGGTGGCCTCTTACTAGGGTATGCACTTGGGCAGTCTCCTCAGGATAGTATTACGCATATTGGTCCACACTTAGCTGCCAAGACCTTCTTATAAACAAAATTATATATTTTTTTGGTAGAATGACTGGGTAAGGTTAAGGATTTAGTTGGTCTGGAGACATAACAGAGTGGAATTAAATGGCCCATGAGGGAATGGAATGTTTAATCTTGAGTTTGATATCACATGTTTTGTGAGGGAGCACTTATTCCAAATACAGCTGGGTCCCAATTAGTGCAAATAGTGAATCCTGTGACGTGGAATTCCAATTAGTACTAACTGAAGTTATACTTATGTAAAATATGGCAATTGGTTTCAGCCCAATGGAAATGTGCAGTGCATAATCAAATATTGTAACCACTTCACAGGTGGGATTCATTATTTGCACTAATTGGGACCTAATTGTACTCAATTTTCCAAATGATTCCTCCCAGAAAGAGGATACTTATGAGCTGGAGAGCTGTAAGCAGATCCTCAGAATAATTTTTTTTTGGTTGGTAGGAATGTGGTAAATGTTGTAAATTTTCTCACCAAAAAGCAAAAGGAGGACAAAAAGTTATATTGGAGTACTTATGAGTGCATTGAGCACTGCTAAATACTTTTTAAAAAAGAGTAACTTAATTTTGATGTCAAGTTGTCAAATATTGCTATACTATTTAATGCTCTAGGATTTTCCAACAGCTGGTGGTGAGAATGTATGCAGGTGCCTAAACGGAATAGGTAAATCCAACACAACATAAACATCTTTCCTAGGCCTACACAAAAGATGCTGCAGAGAAAGATGGAAGCAACTTATACAGCAGAAATGTTTAAAATAACCCAAATAAAAAGTGTTCCAAGCAACACACTGTGATCAAAAATTGTTGCCAAGAAGAAGAGAATGTCGAGGATAAATTTTTAAATTTCAGAAAATCTCTCTGGTATAGGCTTCAGACAAAGTACATATAATTTACTTTTGTCTTCCTCACTCTTTTCTAGGGAGCGTCTTACAAAAATGTTATCACTGAATAAGAATTAAGTAATTGGTCAACTTATTCCTTGACACAATTGCTAATTAACTAGCTTTGAATTTTTTTTTTAGAGGCAAATGGGGTTAAGTGACTTGCCCAGGATGACAGCTAGTAAGCGTCATGTGTCTGAGATCATATTTGAACTCAGGTCCTCCTGATTCCAAGGCTAGAACTCTGTCTGCTGGGTCACCTAGCTGCCCCAAACTTTGCAATTTTTATCATGGAACTGTACCGCAAAATATCCATTTTCTCTATGAAACCAAATACTTAATTCAATTTTAAATTTAATTTAATGTCAGATTTAAGCAGAAGTAGAATATGTACAGACTATGTAAAAGGGGAAAGGAGTAGAATTATTTAAGAAGAAAATATTAAAATATAATACTATGATAATACTATAAAAATAATACTCATAAGAAAATCTGGGGAACAAGAGAAAGGGTATTTGCATGAGAAGAAAGAGAAAGAGAAGTGATATTGATATGGGAGAAATCATACTACAGACCACCTGGAAGGAAGGAAAAAAATTGATGAGAAGTTTTATCTTGTCATTTGTCAGAGTTCTCTCTCTGCCAAAGCACACAGTTTAGTATTTTGGAGGATCTGTGATCTTACAGATGTGGGGATTCTCTCCAACAATATAAATCATTGTCCATTTGCAATGTTTGTCCTAGAGATGTATTGACTAGCTTTGAGTTGTCCATCCAACTTTCATAGTTTGGACCCTAAGCCTTCTTCATTTACTTGGGTTTTCCTGTGTGGACAATTGGTCCAAACCTTTTTGAATGATTATTGTACCTTGGGCTGGTGTTTCCTTAATGCTGGCATCATTAATGCAGGGTGACTCAGAAAATAATTTGACACTTCCTTAGTTGGCTATATCTGTATCTGTGAGAGCAGAAGAGGGAAGGGGGCAAAAATTTACCTAGTGGTTTCCATCCTACCAGGGGTTCTTCACCTTTTGTGTTGTGGGATCCCTTCCGTAGTCTTGTGAAGCCCATGGACCCCTTCTCAGAATGTTTTTAAATGTAGAAAATAATGTTCTCAAAGGCAGAACATAGGGCTATGAAGGAAACCAATCATATTGAAATTAGTCATTACATATTAAGAAAAGACAAGTTCAGGGACCACAAGTTAAGAACCCTATTTTACTTAACTTTCTTTGTGTTTGCCTATGTATAGCTCATTTAAAATAGGTCCTATTTAAAGTTGCTTATGGCAGATCCTAGATAACCTCCTGGCTTTCAATTAATCAGGTGGGTGGAATGGGACCAGGAGTGTGTCAAGAGGGAGAAAAGGATTTTTTGCAATTTGCCTTACAATTCATGTGAAAATGTTGAGTTTGCAGGGTGCCAGTATCTGGAAGCTCACCAGAGACCTTGAGATTGTCATGGCCCTACCAGTTACATTTGTCCTGGTCCTTTCCCCCCTCAAGTCTCTAGTAAGGAATCAGCACTAGAACCCAGGTCTCCTGAGGTCCATTATCCCTGACGCTACAGTGGGAATGTTAGCAGACAAAGCTTAGGAGTTTTCACTTAGAGGCAAGGATGCTTACCACGTGTGCTTCCCCTCTCCTTGCGTTTCCTCATCTGCGAAAAGCACCCGCTCTTAAGTCCGAGGACATGCGTTCGAATCCTACCCCTGACATCCTAGCTGGGTGATTTTGGGCTAGGCGCTTAACCTCCCCAGGCCCCGGCTTCCTTATTAAAAGAGCCAGGGGGTCGGATTAGAGGCCTATGGCCCTTGCATCTCTGGGTCTGTGATTAAAGGAGAGGACTAGACTGTGGGATCGGGGGTTGGTCACGGGTGTGTCACGGCCCCCTTTCCAATCGGTGAGGCCTAAGGGCCCATGAAGGGCTTGCTGCCTACATTCATAATCAAAGGAAATGACAAGTTTCAGTGGGAGGTTGGTGAAAATAAAGACGTGATTTCCTCCCCATCCGAGCTCCGCAGAAACCGATCCTCAGAGTGCTTGGGCGTGGGTGGGACCCCCGTGTCGGAGCAAGCCCCCGGACTATGATGGTCACTGAAGGCCCTTCAGCTCCGCGTCTACGACGCCGCGATGCCAGGGATGGGCGCACACCGCCTGTATTCCCCCTCCTTGGCTTCGGGCCTGCCGTGGGGTCGGGCGAGCGGGGTCACGGTCACGGTCGGGGTCACGGTCGCTGTCAGGGTCAGGTGGCGCTCGCCGCGGCTGCGTCCCGGGTGCGCCTGCGCGCTGCGTGCGTGCGCGAGCCGGTCCCAGCGCCCCGGAGGCGGCGGCCGTTGGAGGCGGGTCGGGGGGAGGCCCGGAGGAGCCGGCGGGGCGGGGCGGGGCGGGGCGTCTCCCGACTCTCGGCGGGCCGGCAGCGGCTCAGTGCTGCTCGCAGCATCGTCAGGTGGAGGCGGCGCTGCCTGCTGTCCTCCGGCGCGGCCTGAGCCGCTCCCTGGGGCTCCCCTCCCCGCCCCGGCCCCGGCCCTCGGCGCGGCTCCCGAGAGAACCCGGAGGAGCGCAGGTGGGGGTGGAGGTGACGGGGGGGGCGGGGCGGGGCGCGTGGAGCGTGCGTGGCGCGGGAGGGAGGCAGGGAGGGACCACTCGTGCGGGGGGCGCCCGGGCCTCTGCCCCGGGATGGGGGTGATGGGAGCCTAAGCGTCCGACCCATCTGGGAGCAGGGATGCCGGCGGAGGGGTGCACCTGCCGCGCGCTTCCAGTGACATTTCAGCTAGCAGAGACAGCTAGGGCTGGGAGGGACCTCAGAGGCCCCTAGACCGCCCCACGGGGAAACTGAGGCCAAGGTGGGGCGAGGCGACTTACCCGGTGTTGCACCGCTAGTTAAGTGGCAGAGGCAGGGTTGTGAACCCAGGTTTGCTCACTCCACACTTAATTAGCCCTCGATTGCATAGCGCCGTATGGGGTTAAGGGGCCGTAAGAGCAATTACGTTTGGGTTTTGGGTTGTTACAGGGCACAGGGTCGTAGAGTCGTAGGTTCTTGGGTCTAGAGCTGGAAGGGACCTCAGAAGCCATCCAGTCTTATTTTTACAGATGAGATTAAAGGAATTGTCTCAGATCGCACCGATAATACACGTCAGAGGAGGAATTTGAACCTGGATTCTCTGACTCCAGTGGCAGTGCACATTCCTCTGTAATTTGGTTCAGTAGATTAGTAAGAAGCACTGTCATTGTGGTGTAGTGGATAGAGGATTGGCTTTGGAGTAACGAAGACTTGGGTTCCAGGCCTGCCTCTGACAGATAGTAGGGATAACTCAAAGGCTCTGAGTAATAGATAAGTTGCTGATCTGCGTGAGGGAGTATCACTTTTCACACTGATTTTTCATTCTGCGTAAGTACAGATGCATTCCCAGGTATGCGGACAAAGGAACATAAAACAAAATGAAATAAAAGCATCTGGGAGGTCCTTTTCATTGTGCTAGGTGCCTGGTTTCACAGAAACAAATGCATTCAGAATTTCTAACCCTCTCCTTGCCACTTTGTGTTTGTTGCATTGACAGTTTTTGGTTTTGAGAAGTCACCCGAATTTTGAAGAGAAATACTTGCTCTTGGGACTCTGTGCTGAGCAGTTGGTATGTTGTTCCTATCTTCTTGGATCAGATTAAACAGTTCATAAAGTCATTGTGTGCTGGATTGGTGTCATTGGGTCTGTTCATTGAGGGAGATTAAAAAAAAGTTTCTGTTTTGTGAAACTAGGTACTAACATAGTTTTATCAGTAGTACCTTATCACCTTATGCTTTAGGACTGTACTAGGATTTACTTTGAAACAATAAAATCTGCCATGATATTAGTGAAAGGAGACTTTCACTCAACACTGTCTTAATGACATTCCACCTCCACAACTTACTAATGAGTTTCTTTTTTCCTGCCATGTTTTTTTTTTTTAAGTTCTGAATGAACTTGTGAGCAATAGACTTGCAAGTCCATTAAATTGTTCTGTTTACTTTTAGGATCAAAAAGAACACAGATTTAGAGCTGGATTGGATATTAACAGATCTTCTAGTCCAACTCTTTCAGTTTGCAGATGAGGAAAGTGAGGCCCTGAGAGGTTAAGTGGCTTCCCCATGGTCACACACTGAAATTTTTGTATAGTTTCTATGGAATCTTTTAAAATTTTATTCAACAAGTATTTATATATTCCAAGTACTGAGTTGGGCCTTGGAGATAAGGACACAAACAGAATGGTCCCTGCCCTCAAGGAACTTCTATTCTATTGAAGGAAAACAACCTCTCCAAAAAAGGATGCAATACAAATATTTACAAAGTGGCTACTGTGAAATCATTTAATGTGAAATTTTGATTTGACAGTTGAGCATACTGGTTGTTGCAGACCATTTGTCCTTTGGGAGGAGGGCAAAGCTGTAGCATAATGGGTTAACTTGTTAAATTATTGTTATGTAAGCTTAACCATGTCTCTTCCTATTTTTTAAGTGTGATTAGTTATGTGGGTGCTTTTTTTTAATGCTTTGTTAAATTTGTCATGTGCTGTCTGTCCGCGCTAGAAGATTGATTCTTGAGATGTGATGACAGTTGTGTCCAATACTGTGCAAGTCTGCCTAATAAAGTATTTATAGTGTTTATTTCAGAAAAGATTAAATTGAGTTTAATTTTTTTAGGATTTTAAAAAATTGACCTTAATGTATTGCTTTTTATTGTTATAAATGGTAACTCATCCTGTAAAATCTATCAGCAGTCCTTAAGTTATAACATTGATATCCTTTCTTCTCCCTGAATGACTGCATCCCAGTGTGATTATTTTCTTGCCCCCATTTTTTCATTGTATATATATATATGCAGGTTTATATTTTACAATATTGGATTGGGTTGTAGGTGGTCTTGTCATGCATGAATGTTTTATTTTTTTTTAATCAGGAATGTGAGCTGCTTGTAGGCCAGAACACACATTTATTTCTTTTGTACCTTTCTGCAGTAACTATTGTAGTTCTGAGCACACGACCAAATGAATGCTGGTTGAATAAATTAACACACTTTTGTGTTATCAGCAAATTAACAGGTTTCTGATTGTGCACCGAAATATCCATTTTGGTCAAACTGCTTTGGAATTTCTTGGGGATAATAAAGAATCATGATTGGTAAAGTACCTAGCATTTTGAGTAAAGGAGTCTGTTATATGCAATTCTCTGTGAATATGACTGGAAAACCCTAGCTGCTGGCAGACGCAAAGTGTGTCCTCTTTCCAGAACTACTCTTTAGTGTCGTATCTAAACTATGTTGATGAAACCTGTGTTCTATTTCGATTAGAATTCTTAAGTAGGCATTGGCCTAGCTTCCTTGAGGCAGTCCCTCAGAGGGAGTTGTAGGATTGTGGTATTCAGGAGTGATGAAACTAGACTGGAATTCTCTCATAGTGTTTTCCAAATTGAAGTTTGGGATGCTGAGTAACTTAGAATTAATACCACCTCACTTCAGTAGTTGTCAGCTATAGTTATCTGTTTCATGTACAGTCATTACTTTCATAATATTGCCACTATTAACATCAATAATACTGTTAAAGCATAACCACACTCCATCATAACATCCTAAACCCTGCTGTAATGCTAGGCTTCCTACAGGGATAGTCCTGGCTTCTCCTCCTCTTTCCCTCCCAGGGGATCCTCAGCTCCATTTTGCTCCCCATAACTCTTCCTCTGAAAGTAAGTACCCTCTGTAATGTTATACCATTTAAAGGGAGGGATAATTGATTTCTACAAAAGTGAAACATCAGGCAAGAAATGCACAGATTGATTAATTGCTGTGCTTACTTGCTCCTCCCCCCCAACAAAAAAGCACATAAGAAACACTGGGTTGCACTTAATAAACCAACATTTAGTAAACCAAAATGTATGTGGGTAGATGCAATAATAAATACTGTAATTTTAACTTCTTTCTTATTTGTCATAATTTTTCATAACAACATCAACTTAAGCTTTAAATGAGTAATTGCTAACAAGAGACAATTATTCCAGAAATTTACTCTTTTTCCTTAAAACTGAAAATAACTTTTTTTTTCCTGTAAAAGTATATTGTTCCTCTGTAATCTCCAGAGGAAATCCTTGCTGCCATCATGTAAAAAGAAGTGTGACCTGAAAGGAAACATCAGTCATACCCTACATACTATTTTCTGAAACTCCAAATTTATTCATCTCTTGAGTCTCCTTTTCTTTTCCCCAAAATCAGAGGCCAGCAGGTTTCAGGAAGTTAGGGATAAACTGTAGTGCTGAAGAAAGATGGTGATTCCTACAGTCCCTGCTACCTGGAAGACTATGGTTGGTTGATCAGTTTCTTGAACTTGAGAATTCTGAGCTTCAGCAGGGCTCTGAGCTCAGGCTGGCTCCAGTATGGTCAGCCCCTAGTAGTGAACTAGCCTAGGTTAGAGATGGAGCAGGTCAAAGTTCAAAAGAACATCTGTATCAAAAGAAAACAAAACAAAACATCGGTTGAAACCTTGATTCTTCTATTTTATATTTGGTTTTGGAATGTGATTTAATGGCTTGCACTTGCCTACGCACATGAAAATGTACTTTTTCAAACATATGATGAAGCCCCGCATGAAAAACTTAATTCAGGAGGACCTAGAAAGCTGTCTGTATCCCATTTTTCTGACCAGAAATCATCCTTGTTTCCTTCTCAATTGATAGGAATGGATGGTATCACTTCTCAGATTCTGATAAAACACCATATATGTGTAGGATTTCGGAGCTTGAAGAGACCTGAGGTCATTTATTTTCAATCTGAGCCTTTCAGGTAGAAATCTCCTTTATAACATCCCCAGAAAGCTATTCAGGCACTGTTTAAAGAACTGTGGTCATGGGCAACTCGTTCAGATAGCACTGTTTATTTGAAAGCTTTCTTCACATTGACTTTAAATCTTGCCCTCTTCAGCTTCTTCCTGTTAATCCTAACTCTCCCTTCTGATGCCAGTCCTACCAAAGGTAAACCTTCTGTCACATCATAGCCCTTAAAATGCTTGAAGATAATTGAGTCTTTCACTTTGGGAGTAGTTCAGTTTCTTCCCTCAGTCCTCATATAGCATGACTTCTCATCTCATCATCATGACTGCCTTCCTCTGGATACCCTCCAGCTTGTCGGTATCTTTTCTCTCTAGTTGTGATCTAAACATGGCTGAATACAGTGGGACTGTTATGTCCTTCATTCTGGACATCACTTCTTCCATGCGTCCTACGAATTGCATTCTTTCTTTTCTTTTCTTTTTTAAATTTCATTCTGTGAAATCTGTTAAACATCTTTGAAATCTGTTCTCCAAATATGTAGGATAAGTGTCCAGCCATTTGGCTCCATATAATAATAATATTAATAATAATGATAATAATAACTTATGGATCTATAGAACTTTAAGGTTTATAAAATACAACAACCTAGTGAGTAGAGCAAGAATTAATATTCCCGTTTTACAGATGAGGAAACTAAGTCATTTTGAGGTTAAGTGAATTGCCTGTGTTCATGCAGCCAGGAAGTGTCACTTAGCATTTGAGCCTAGGCCTTCTGACCCCAAGTTCAGTGTGATCACGGACACTAAAAGGTCATAGCCATTTTTCTTCTTTGACAACTAGTTCCTTATCAGGATCAGGTAATGGTTCTCCTTGTCCCTTCTTTTGTTTTTTGAAGAATGAAACAACCATTAAAGCAAATCACACATTTTTTGGTTACTCTTTTAGCAGAGAACATTTGGACAGATGTTAGGTGTCATTGAAGGCCCTACTCACTTATAACATGTCTCTAGGACAGGTTTGTGATAATTTTGCTGAACCCATCCTTTTTCTTCTGTCTAGGGGCTGTACAACATTCCTGCCACAGTACTGCTTCTGTTTCTCTCTTTGTTGACATCACCCAAATGATCTTCTTTGTACCTTAGTCCCTCTGGTTTACGGATTTATTCATATGAACATATATCTCTCAGCGCCAATTTCCTCATCTGTCCTTATTGCATCTGCCACATAGGATTCTAAGACTGAACTGAGATGACGTACATAACGATCTTAGCAAATGTTAAAGCACGATATAAATGTTAGTTATCATATGTGATGCTACTCTGCCAGTCTAATGGGTTACCTTTAAATAAGATACATTCTTTGTTTACCATATTCCAATTGAGTCAAATCCACCCACATCTCAGTGATACCTGTGAGGTCGGATTTCCCTTACTGAATTATGGTCCCTGGTTCCTTTTGTTTATTTCTCATGCTGTTTGCATTTCCTAAGTTCATAATTCTAGAGCTGGAAGAAACCTTAGGGGCCATGTAGTCTACTTCCATCATTTTACAGATAGGAAACTGAGAACCCAGGGAGGTTAAGTGTTCAAGGTCACTCAAGTAGTCAATATCAGAGGTGAGATTTAAACCCAGGTCTTCTGACTCTTCAGCCTGGCCACTGAGGCTATGAATTTTGTCTCTCTTATTGTCTCTTTTGATTACTTGGCCTGTCCAATGATATTCTTGTTAAAGATAGGCAAGCAATTGTCTCCCCCTTCTTCCCTTCCCCCTTGATCAAATGATTTAGGCAGTTGTTTTTTTATCAACCTTATTTGATACAACCATTCCTGGCCAAGAGCCTGTCATTCCTGTATCTTAAGCTCCAACATAGAGATCCAAATCCTGTTCTCTGTCATCACCTTCTTAAGCAGTTGTTTGCTTCCCAGCTTTGCCTTTCTCTTCTGAAGCCCAAACCTTCAATCAGCAATGGGGACCGAAGTGTCACCTGTGCCCCTGAGGTCTGAGGTTTCTTGCCTAGCATGTCATAATCCTTAGCAATACTTTCCAAGTTCCTTGTCCCAAGAGGAATAACAAGGAGTGAGCAGTAATCATCGTGTTTGGCAAATCATGGGAGGCTCTTCTTCCCCAGTACGTGCTTCGTGAATTCAGCCTTGCATGTCTCCCAGGAAGAATCCTTAACTGTCTTGGGGGGAAATGTGGCATGCTTGCCTAAGTTTTTGCCATGCAGTTTGAGAGGAAGCCTGTCAAGTACACCACCTTTATATGTTGGGCAGGTACTGCAGATGGAAGGTAGGTCCAGAATTAAGTAGCTCAGCAGGGTAGAATGAACTTACTAGTTTTTCGTTCACATGTTTCCTGGGGGCAGTAAAGCAACGTGCACATTTTGTTTCAAAAGTCCCTGTTTTCCAACTCTTTCAGGGCCCAAATCAGCAGAGATCCTATGTAGTATCCACAAGGAATGTTGACTCTAAGACAGCACCCATAAATACTTGAAAGCAAAGTTCATTATGTGACCACAATTTTCCACAAAAGTTTTACTTGGATGTTGAGACAGAATGGAGATTCATCATAGAAGAGATTTTTAGGTATATGAAGAAACAAGCCCATTGTATTGCATGCAGTATGTGATGATAGCTATCATCCCTGTCAGCATTCTAGAGTAGTAGGCCTTAATAGGTAACTTTTGCCAGTGGATATTTTGTGTCAGGGTGTTTTAGTAAGCTAAGAGAGTACCAACCCCACCCTTTTAGATTAGTCTGAAATTTTGAAACAGGTTTCACTTATTGTGAAATATGCTGGGTGTCATCACCCATGCCTCTCTGGGAAAAATTTCCTTTGTCATTGACAGATATTGTGTTGGAAAAAATTTATTAATTCAGATTGGTTTGCTGAAAGGACCAGAAAAAAAAATAGCCCTGAAATCAGAAATTGAAAAGACAAGATACATTATTAAGGGGAAAAGGTTATCTTTTTAATTTTTTTAAAAAGATGACCTCAGAGGTAAATATTCTAAGCTGTATGAGAGTAAGAGTGTTTTCTGTTTTTGCCTTAAAGGTAGCTTTCTAGAGGATGACCATAGAAGACCTTCCAGATCTGCCCTCAGAAGGAAATTCTTTGATTGGAAGATACCCATTTTTATTTTCAGGTTCTGACACACCGGTTATCTTTTCAGTTTCTGCAGCACCAATGCCTTCAGACTGTGGTATGTAGTGTAGCAGTTTTAACTTTCTGTAAGCCAGCAAACTGATTCTGTTTCATGTCTGCTTTTATTTAGGCTTTTGCATGTTCATTCTAAAACCATGTACAGTATTTTGCACAAATTCCAAAAGCTCAGTTTTTATTATAGCTGACTTTCAGCTTTATTTCTTGTATCAACAGTTGCATTTCACTTAAAAATATGTATTTATTTTAAGATTAATGGCAGACTTCCTGAATTTGCAATTTAGAAAATGACATAAACTTCTAGAATTCTTCTGACATAACAGGACATTAGAGGTGGAATATTACTTCACAAAACAGCAAAGGGCCATGGAGGGGAAAATGAGGTGGCAGAAAGCTTTTTATGAGATCTAAGTTAGATCATCCCAAGATCAAGCATACATAAAAGTAAAACAGATATGCAGTCATTTCTATTGTGATACTGTAGGTGTAATAATGTCTTGTCAAGACGTCTGAAGGGCGAGATTAGCTCATAGTACCTTTTGAAAAAAGACTTTAATGTAATTGAGGGGTATTTCATCATAATAGATTTTATTGATCAAGAAGAATATATCTTGAAAAGGTGGAGATCAGTGTGGTAGAATGGTCAAATTTCCGAGTAAACATTTCAGATACAATTTTGGTTCTTTTAGGGAGGAACGTGTTTTCAGGAAACCTGAGTTTTCAACATCATGAATGGACAAATAAGCCTTTATTCACGTTTATCCTAGCAATTTGTCTTTCCTGATATCTAGGTTTTCCATTGTGTATAGATTCTATTGTACTTTTTTTACCTTGGAATTATTAAAGTTACATGTGTTGTGAAAAGATACAGGTTGATATCATTAGCAATTTGAAGCTTGGAATCAAAACATTTTAGAGTTGGAAGAAGGAATGTGGTATATACCTGGAAGATTAGATTCAATGTTGGGAGGCTTGGATTCCCGCCTTCACTCTGCCCCAGACTAGCTTGGGCAAGTCCCTTAACCTCTATGGGCCTTCATTTCCTCATTTGTGAAATTGGGATTGGACTAAGTGAATTCTAATGAATATTCCTTCTAGCTCTGAAATCTATGAAAAATGAGTTAAAGGGATTGATTTCTTCGCTTATCTATTAAAATAATATTTTCTTATTTTAAATAGAGTTTTCTTTTTTTGATCCAAATGATGCATCATGCCAAGAAATCCTTTTTGATCCTAAAACATCAGTGTCTGAATTATTTGCCATTTTAAGACAATGGGTTCCCCAAGTCCAACAGAACATTGACATTATTGGGAATGAGGTAAGGAATGTATACTTATTCTTAAAATATAATACCCAAATTTTGGGAATTTTTTTTATCAGTATTATTAGAATTAGATTTATTTAATAGATAGGATCCTATCTTAGGTCTCATAAAATGAAAATTGGGAGAGGAAGGATAATAATCATGCTAAATTGTAAGCTCTTTTTAGTCAGGGCAGTGTCTTATTTATCCTTGTAACAGTGCTTTAAACATAGTAGACATTTAATAAATGTTTCTTATATAAAAGATCCCCTTTTAGCCCTGATGTTTTTATTTATACTTTGTACTTATAAGTACTTATATTTTGTACTTACAAAAGTCTTACTCCTTTGCTTCATCATGGTTCAGAAGTGAACGTGGGGTTTTTGAGGATCTAGCCAGAAGAATTGCAAGCGTGGGCAATTTCTAACATTTTTTAAGTTTAACAATTTCTAAATTTCTTTGAGTATGGTCCTGGTCACAGACTGTGTTCGTCATCTGAGGACTGTGCTGTTCAGAGAAGCACACTACAAGTAGGCTGATGACTTGGTGATGAAACCTTTATCCAAGTTAACCTGTGAAATAGAGGAAAATATAGACTGGCCCTCAGTGCCCTTCTTCTGTGGTGGCAGTGGCAGTAGAAATGGCACTTAAAAGAATGAAGTTGATGATGTTGGGAAGAATAACTGGGCCAGACCAAGTATACACAGAAGAAATATATTTTGGAAGCAAACCAAATCTCAAAAAAACTAATCTCAAAAATCAGGAGAGCTATGTTCAAGTTTCAGTCTGCAAGGAGGAAAAATATTGAATGAAAAGAAGAAAAATCACTTGTAGTTATTATTTAAAAAAAGGTGATGAAGGGAACATTGGTAACTATCGACTTTCATACCTAATTTCTCATTTCTCTAAAGTATATGGAAATTAGCAAGGGTTTCATTGATGAAACTGTGAGAAAAGGACAGGCAGACTTTTGAAAATGACCTTCTGTATCATCTTCAGTCATGTAATTTGAAAGATATAGTGAATACAAGATATTACTCTGTTGTTTGTTGATTAAAAAAAAGGTTTAGTAGAGTAAAATGTAGTCTGAAAGGTTCTCCTCTAAGATGTTGTTGATGTGTATATTGAGATCATACAGACTTCCTCAATAGGTACAGCCACAGAGATAATTTTGTTCATCCATCCTCTTGTCAATATCAAATGAGGCATAAGATAGCTAGATAAATGCTTGCCAAAGTCCTAATCACTGTCAGAGGCTGTCTTGTGATGGGTTGAAATGGAAGAGGGATTCCCTATAGATGGTGAGGTCCTGTGAACACTCCCATTTGCAGATGATATTGTATCAAGCCCTAAAATAATAAAGAACATCTTCAGTGAGATCCATGACAGCTCAACAGAGTTGGACATAATAGATCACAAAGGAAAAAGCGTAATAGATGAAGAGGCAGCATATGTTTGTAATCAGAGTTGGATTTGAATCCTGACCCAGGAGCTTAGTGGTTGTGTGACCTTGAAGAAGTCATTTCACTTTTCTTGGCCGAGGGCTGATCTCCTCACCTATAAAATGAGAAAATTCGACTTCACCTCTCAATCTGTGCTCCTGTAAATATACCTATTGTCCAGAAGATGGAATGAGTTTGCATGGACAGCCCATTGAATTACTCTTACCAGTATACCTTGGATAAGTACTACAAAAGGACAGAGGATTTGGCCCAGAATTGGATAGGCAAAAGAGAGCAAGTGGGTTAACATTTGAGAAATCTTTTGTACTCTGAGGCTACTTTCTGACAGAAAAAAACCCAAAACCAAAACCATCATTGTCTTATTGAGAATTGTGTCATGCCACTGTCTCCAAAGAATCATTAATTAATTGTAGGTGACCTTTTAAAGGGCAGTAGAGGAGACCTATGATGAGCATAAGTATACTGTAGAATATTACGTAATCTTAGTGTCCATTGGTATCTTCATGATGATGGGAGCACATAGGGTGGACCTCTCATGGAGAATTTTTGGAAGAACATGGACCAGAGTCACCTAGGATGGATAAATATGGATGGATTCCAGGGATGGGGAATCTGAGGCCTCGAGACCATATGTGGCCCTCTAGGTCTTGAAGTGAGGCCCTTTGACTGAATCCAAATTTCACAGAACAAATCCCCTTAATAAAAGGATTTGTTCTGTAAAACATGGACTCAGTCAAATGGCTGCACCCAAGGACCCAGAAGGCTACATGTGGCCTCAAGGCTGCAGGTTCCCCACTTCTGGATTAGACCCTGCAGAAGGAGGGAACTTCTGAAATGATGTGATCACAGAGCCATTTGAATATTAGAGTATGTACAAAGTAGAGCACTGAGTGGCCAGTAGGACCACGAATGTAGACAAGTTTTGTTTGATTACTTAATTCTTCTTCCTCACTAACCCTCTCTTTAGGGTAGTTTGGTTAGTGTGTCATTTCCCAAATATTCATTAAAAAAATTACTCATTAAGAATGAGCTATCAGAGGTACAAGTTGTGCAAGGAAAAAAAGAAAAGGATGCTAAAATTTAAGGAATGGAATCTATAATCTTAGATTTATAACTTATCTTCTCTCTGACCAGAGATATGAATTACATACACTAAAATAATTGCCTAAATTAAATTTAACAATATTTTCTCATTTATTCCAGGATAGTAGTAGATTATTTTATCATTGATCTTTCTAGATTTCACATGCTATCTCAGGAACTGACTTCATTATTTTTTCAGGCACATTTGTGATGAAGATATAAGTACAGAAATATTCTCTAATGTAGGAATCATGTCCTCTGTAATACGATGAGTATTGCTAAGAGTGGGAAGATTAGACAATGATACCTCTTGATGAGCATGAGTGAGCAGAGGAAACTGCTCTATGAAAATATGGTTTCTTTGTGTAAAATCTGATATGAGGAGTATCATTTCAAGGAGTGATTCTGCTTAACAAAACTTTTTCTGTGTCTGTATGCATAACTCACAGTACTAGTGGCTTTGATTATTATAGTTAAAGGAATTGTATATAAATAATAGCCCTTATGACAGGTTGTAATTCTGTTGTAACCAAAGATGCTTGTGTATTCTACAGAGTTCATTAGAGTGGGATTTGTTCTGTTGTAGTTTTTCTCTTGGCCACTGTGTTTTAGTGAGTCATCTATTTTTTTAATCTTTTTCTAAAGAGAGAAGCTTAAGTTTGGTTCTGTCTCAGATTGTGTCTTCTTTTCTTTAGTTTTGGTATTATCTGGTGGAAATAGGTACTCCTACTTTCCTGGATCTATTAGTGTTTCAAAGAATTGTCAGTAAGTAAATTCCAGTGGCTCCCTATTTACCTCCAGAATCAAATATCTTTAAAACACTTCATTATAAAAAAACCAAAAAAAACCCCAGCCCCCTTTATAACTTGCCCTCTTTTATCTTTCCCATCTTCTTATACCTTGCTGCCATGTATGTATTCTGTAATTTAGTGATACTGGCCTCCTTTCTGTTCCTCACACAAGAACTTTATCTCCTGACTGAATTTTCAGTGGTTATCTGCCATGCCTAGAATTCTCTCTCCTCATATTTGTCTCCTGGATTTCCTGGCTTCCTTCAGGTCTTAGCTAAAATTCCACCTGCAAAAAGCCTTTCCCTGTCTCCTTGATGTCTTCTCCCTGAGATTATCTTCAGCTTCTCCTACGTATGTCTCATTTGTTCATAGTTGTTTGCGTATTGTCTCCTTCACTAGCCTGGGAACTCCTTGAGAGGAGGGGCTGTCTTTTGCCTTTCTTTGTGTCCCCAGCACTTAATGCAGTGCCTGGCACATAGCAGACAATTAATACTAGTTGACTATGAGATGCCTGGCAGGTTGGGTAGGCTAACCTAGTATTTTTGTTGACATTACACCCATTGGAAATGAGAGCTTAGTCATTATTAATGAAGGTCAAAAAGAACATATTTAGAGAACTATTTTTAGTTATTTTGTAGTGTAGGTTTTACCTTCTTTCTGGTGATGTGTGTCACAATAAAGATTGTTTCATGAGATCAGATTGAAAAGTCATTTGAAAAGTTAATTCTTTGGGAACATATTAGTCAGACACTAAATTGAATATGTTAGGCTAGCTACATTCTTGAGCAAATAGATTTGATTCCTCTAGTTTTATATTCATTTAAAAGCAACACTTCAGTAATAACACTAATTATGTTCTCTTATATTCTGATTGGTTATAGATTATCAAGAGAGGATGTAATGTAAATGATAGAGATGGACTAACTGATATGACTCTTCTCCATTATACCTGCAAATCTGGAGCTCATGGTATTGGTAAGTACACAACAGATTTGTTAGCAGGTTCCCTTTTTAGGACTTCCGAGGTAGAATATCAAATCAAACCACATATTCCTGGTTTTTACTGGCTATAAAATATGTTGTCATATGATCTTAAAAGTAAAACTCACATCTGCCCATACTTTCTTTGTTGAAGTGATGCTGAGATATAAAACATAATTGATAATGGAGAAAAAGGATTCTGTGAATGTTGGGAATTCTTGATGAAATAGGGCCAAGTTTAAAGTGATCCTGATTACTTAAGATAAATTCTACATATTTTGCCTTCTGCCAGATAATTTTGCTTTCAAGTTTTACAAACTGCAGTTTGCTTCTGTGTTTGGTACACATCTTGGTCTCTCTTTGTACTTTGCTTGAAACCTATATGGCAAATCGTTGAAATGCAGTACTGCAACCTCCTTTTCTGCTCCAGAATGGGGATAGCGTATGTAGCTTAGTGTTTTTCGTCACTCCAAAATGGTCTTAGAGACAAGTAGGTTACAGGGAGCATCTACTTAGATCAGGTTTTTAATGTGGCTTCGTTGTTTTATTTGAAATGAATTCCCAGAATATCAAACAAATGCGTATTCAAATATAAGTACAGAAATAATATTCCAAAGTCAGTTATGAATTTTTGTATTATCTCTGTCTTCATCTTGATTAGTGTGAATAATAGAGACTTGAGAGAGTAATGTATCACTCATAACTGCCCAAAGATTGTCATGTCTCATCAGGGGACTATATAATTAGTGTATGTTTACATTTTTTGGCTCTTAGGCGGGAAGAAAAATTGATTGGGAGTGTTTCTTTGTGAAAAATATGCAGTTCTGAGGGTATCGTTTTGAAATTAACAAGTTTTAGTATGCTGTTAAGAATCTGAAAGTTATTCTTCAGTTCTTGATTTCATAGTGAATTTCAATATATGGTTTCAGTAGCACTTTTTAATTGCTCAAGTCATTGAAAATATATTCATTAGGACATGATGTGTTTTAATGAATGATGTGTTAAAAACTCTGGGAATAGTTTACCTTGCTAGAATATTTTTGTGATAAAATATGTAAATTGTGACAACTTCTTCAGATGCTTTTTCTTTTAAAATTATGCGTATTTTATAAAATAACCTTTTTGCTTTGTGCTTTTTGTAGGGATAAAAAGATGGGTCATGAGTGGAATATACTGTTTTTCTTATCTGGGGAAAAATAATTTGAAAACTTTTTTTAGGTGATGTTGAGACAGCTGTAAAATTTGCCTCTCATCTCATTGAACTGGGGGCGGACGTCAGCTTGAGAAGTCGCTGGACAAACATGAATGCTTTGCATTATGCAGCTTACTTTGATGTCCCAGAACTTATAAATTTGATTTTGAAGGCATCAAAACCAAAAGGTAGGTAATGTCAGAACATCATTAATTAGTATTCATTATGCATCCGTTAAGTAAAAAGGATTAAGTGCACTAGGCAGGCATTGTAATACAATGGTAGAAGTTCATAGAGGACACTGTAGTTCAGTTTTTAAAAATTAGACTTGTGATTTCATTGTGGGATGTTCCAGTGAGCAGCTTTCTCTACTGACAGTGCAAATTGACATCTTCTCTGTGACTTACAGCCTGAGGCAGCTCCCTAAGGCACTTAGGAGTTCTAAGTGACTTGCCTAGATTCAAGCAGGAAGTATTTGTCAGTGATGGTACCAGTTTTTTATTGTCTGGGCCATGCTACATTATAAAAAAGGCGGTGGGATAAACAAGTTTCCTGGGAAATGACCAGCATGCTGTCTTGGTTTGATTGGAAGATCCAAGCAGGAAGTGACAAGATATACGCAGAGGTTGATAAAGCAGTGATTGACTTAGTAGAGTGCTTGGAAGCCTAGGTTTAAGCGTCTAAATTTGATGTAATAGGTAGCTACTGTAGATCAGTCTTTTAAATCACTCATGTTTCACACTTTTAATCTTTTGAAGTAAGCTTATTTTATATTTCCTTAATACTTTTGAAGGATTTTTTAACCTCTTGAATTTATCTTTATCCAATCAGGTTTCTTCTGCCTTTTTATTTATCCCTTGGAAAGTAGAGCTATTCAGATTTAGAATTAGATTTAGATCTAATTAGATTTAGATATTTTATGCTGGTTTTCAATATCTTGTGCTAGTTTGTGATGCTGTACATTTTTTTCAAGGCAAAAAAATTGGGAAATCTAAAAAAGTCTTATTTTATTCTCTAATTTGATTTATTTTATCAGAGCTAATTCTTCAATCCTTTCTTGAATTTTAAAGGGTTTTTTTTCTAGATATACTGTACTTAAGTGTCACCTTTTACACAAAACCTTTCTTTACCTCAGCAGCTTCAAACATTAACCATATCGGTGCCTTCCCTCCCGTCTCCCCATAATCTGGCATTTGTCTTCTATCTATATGTATGTGTTGTTTCACCTGATAGAAGGTGAACTCCCTGAGGGCAGAGGCTGTTCATTTTATTTTTTTGTCCTTGTATCCTCCAAACCTAGCACAGGCCTTTAAAGGCTGAAAGGGATCTCAGAGGCCATTTAATGCAACTCCCTCATTTTACAGAAGACAAAAATGAGCCCGGAAGGTTAAGTGATTTGCCGTAGATCCCGCAGATAAGTAATCACCAGAAGCAGCCTTTGAACCCGGAGCTTCTGGCCGCAGAGCTAGGACCCCCTTACCTCTTGCCCAGTAGCACAGGGCAGGGTGAGGAAACAAGAGCTAACACAGTAGAATCACCTTAGTGCAGTGCTTTCTTGTGTAGCAGATTTGACTTTTAATAGACTTGATTATTTGTTTCATCGTATGTCTCCTTATTTATGGGCTTTGAACCAACTCTGGTCTTTGATTTTGGGTTTCTCCTGGGGCTTTTAATGACCTTTTGGCTTGTTTTGGCTTCAGTTTGTTGTGATCTGAGTCTGGGTTGTATAAAACAATATGAAGGACTGAACTGACCTCACACAGTCATCTGAGATGACCTTCCTCACGTCATCTATTCCAACTACCACACAAGTTTCACATCTCACAGATGACACCCCTAACAGGGTGGTTTGGACATTTTGGGACAGCTTTGATTGTTAGAAAGATTTTATTAGCATTGAACTGGAGGTTGCCTATTTGTAATTTCTGCTCATTGGTCCTAATTCTGTCTTCCTGGGTCTAAAGAAATAAATAAAATCTTAAAGTTTCTCTTCTCCAGGCTAAGTATAGTTAGAAAGGGAACAAGCAATTATTAAGTTCCTGCTGTATGCTAGGCACTGTGCTAAGTACTTTACAGATACCTCATTTTATCCTCATTACAATCATGGGAGATAGGTGCTGTTATTATCCCCATTTTACAGTTGAGGAGATTGAGCCAAATGGATTAAATAACTTGCCCAGGGTCACACAGCTAGTAAGTGTCTGAGACCAGATTTGAACTCAAGCCTTCTGCTTCTAGGCCCAGCACTCTAACCACTGTGCCACCTAAGTTCTTTCACCTAGTCCTGATAGAGCAAGGTTCAGTTCGACTCAGTAAACTCTTAGAGAGCAACTGTTACGTATACTATGGGGATAGTGTTCTGGGGATGCAAGGACAAGCATGAAACTGTCCATGCCCTCAAGGATCTTATGTTTTATTGGGAGGACTCAACACATATAGATCAAAAAAGCACAAAATGTACATAAAAGAAATACGAAGTAATTTTTGGTAGGGCAGCACCCGAAACGGAGGGAATCAGGAAAGGAAGAAGTGGCGCTTACAGGATTACAGAGAGATGTAGGGCTGAGAGAGTCCTTGAGGTTATCTGGTCCTGTACGCTCATGTTACAGATGAGGTAAGTGAGGCCTGTGGAGGGGAGTGACTTATCTAAGGTCACATAGATTTTAAGCATCAGAAGTGGCCTATGACCCACATTCTCTGAATCCAGAACTCTTGATTTTTTTGTAATGCTCTAAAAGGATTGAGAATCGTCGAAGAGGCAGAAATGAGGAAGAAGAGCATGCTAGTTATTGATTTTGCATATATTTTGTTTTTATTCACCTATGTGCATGTTGTTTCACATAATCACAAATGTTTTGTTCTCTTTCAGCCCTCAGTATATTAGGGAAAAAGGCTTAACTAGATGCTCACCTGTCTATGATAGATCTACTTATCTGCCAGTCTTTTTGCAGTGTGGTTTATTGTTCTGGGTTCAGAGATTAATGTACCCAGGAATGTTCTCAGGGCCGAATGAGCATCAAATAGGTAGATTATTGTTAAGTATAGGTTTGACACTTGAACCCTTGACTCTAGAGGTTTGTCTTTATTTAAGAGTAGCATAGGGTGGACATGATAGCAGATGTGTCAAACATGTATGTGACTTACAACCCTCCCCAGCATGGCCTGAATCAGATTAAAATGTAATTGGGAACTATTTAACAAAATGAATAAAAATACAACAAAATATAGATAATCTTAACTTTTAAAACTAAATCAGCATGTGGCCTGCAAGTGTCCATAGGTACACTTTAGTGGCTCCTGTTTCCATTTGAGTTCGACTCCACTGACTTGTGTCACAGGGACTCTCCTCAGTAAAAGGGACTCTGGCCCTGGATTCTTCTTGGAGGAGTCTGGTCTCGAAGAGGAAGTCAGATGTCTATCACCTTTCACTCCTTGCTCAGACAGTGTCTTTCTGGGATAAATGCCAAATAGCAGTCTCAGCCATTGTGATAGTACCAAAAAGTGGTGTGTGTCCCCGGCACTTATCACAGTACCTGGCACGTGTAAGTGCTTAATACATGCTTTATGTGTCGAGAGAGTATAATGAGTGTGATGAACTATTTGAAGTGTTTAATGTTTTTTGAAAATGTGTTAATGTATACTTGTGAGCCTTTTGAATCTTGAGCATATTTGTTAGTGGATGAAATAAATAACTATGCTGTACCTAATATGGGGGCAGCTAGGTTGGCTCAGTGGATAGAGGGCTGGACCTGGAGTCAAGAAGATTCATCTTTCTGAGTTCAAATCTGGCCTGAGAAACTTACTAGCTATGTGACTCTAGGTGAATCACTTAAACCCTGTTTGCCTCAGTTTCCTCATCTGTAAAATGAGCTGGAGCAGGCAAACCACTCCAGTACCTTAGCCAAGAAAACCCCAAATGGGGTCACAAAGAGTCAGACATGGCTGAAACAACTTAACAACAACAAAAATACTTAATATTCATATTGGACAATGAGTACCTTCTAGAAGGATCCTGTCTCCTACATTTTGGGGAAATCCTAGGCATACCTAAGTCTTGCTTTAGTGATTTCCTTGGAATTACTCCAGGGTAGAGGCAATGAGCCAGAGATAACAGAGATCTGATTTCCTTTTTTTTTTTTTGGGGGGGGGAGCACACTCCACTGATATAAATCCATATCCATATGAATCCAGAACTAGAGTAATCTTTTGAGGGAGAGGTCATGGGATATAAATGCCCTTGGGATGACTTTGTTTAGGTGAGTGTCTTGCTAAGATTAAAAAACAAAACAACTACTTTTATTCTCATCATTTCTCTTGTTTATGAGGTGATGCTGTTGATAATATTTCATCACTGTAACTTAAGATATTTTTTGTACTTTTAAATAATTTTTTTTTCCATTAACCTTTATTTTCTCTCCCTTCCACCTCTACCGACTTTTGGGGAGAGGGGGAGAAAAACAACATCCTTTTAATGTGCGTGCGCACACACGTGCACACACACATATATACATAAATATTTCCCAATCACATGTAAACTTTTTTAAACATTTACTTAATATATTTTTATTTTTTCCCCAATTTCTTGTTAAAATGATTTTTTGACATTTAAAAAAAGTTTTGAGTTCTAAATTCTATCCCTCTCTCCATCCCTTTCCTCTTGCCTCCCTAAGCAAAAAAATAGGTTATATATGTGCAATCATTTTAACATTTAAAAAAAAATTTTGAGTTCCTAATTTTCTCCCTCCCTCCTCTCCCTTACCCTTTGTGAAGGCAAACAATATGATTTCAGTTATATTTGTGAAGTCATACAAAACATATTTCCATTTTAGCCATGAAAAACCGACATCCTTGTAACAAATATGGGTAGTCAGGTAAAGGAGATCCCCACATTGGCCATGTCCAAAAACATATTGTCTCATTTGCATCTTGATTCCATCATGTCGTAGTCAGGAAGTGGGTAGCACTGGCTATTACATTGATCAGAGTTCGTGTTCTTTGTAATATCTTACTGATAAGTTTATATTCTGAATGTGTATTTCCTTGACTACCTTAGCTCTCTGGTTGTTTCTAAGGTACTTTTTAAAGTCTCTTTTGATCTTATTATCAACATTGATTAGTTAAACTTGGTCAGTTAAATTGATTAGTTAAGCTTTTATATGAAATTATTGTCTGTGTCTTTACCTTTTCT